ATATATATATATATATATATATCATGATATATTACTCTTACTTTATTCCTGAACAGGCTACGTCTTCCAGGACCTCTTGTTCTCAATTCAGATTCTCAGAATTCAATATTTTTCTGAACTGAGCTGATCCACTAGCTTTGAAGTATTCAGCAAGTGAGGCAGAATATATCTTCCTCAGTGGACATTATCATGAACGATAAGCGATATTTCTGATAAATTTCAATTAATAAAAGAGTGTTTAAAAGATTGTGTACCATTACTCTGACAGGAAATTTCCTCTGAGGAAGATGTAGGTGAGAGCATAGTATAGTAGCATTATATACATATTCAGAATCAACGCAATCACAAGGCATAGACCTATCTATGACCAGACATACTTGAGATAAAAACAATAAAAATTATTAGCATACGTACATGATACACCCACTAATATCCCTTTAGTAACTTGAAGGAATAGATTAAAATGAATAGAAATATAACTATATACACCAAAAAGACTTTTTGAAAAAGTGCACAATGGTCAACATATTAAAAAAAACACCATACATAACATGAATTCAATCATGACAATGTTGCAGCAGACATTATTATGGATTTGATTGGCAAACATGTTGGGTACAGCTGCACCGAAAGGAAAAACTTTCGGTGGTAAGTCTACAAATTTTAAAAAAATATTTAAAAACTATTTGATACTTCTCTACATTAATTTAAATTAATGAATAATCATAAAAATATTTTATACGATGATTTGAATTTATATAATGAAGTATTATATTTTTTATAATTAGTTCTAGTTTGTATTCTTAATATTTAAAGTTATGTTTGTTTTGATATTCCATTTTTTGTTTTAAGAAAAAAAAATATTGAAAGTATGTTGGACTTATTTATTCATTTTAAATAAACTAAAAATTTATAAAATAGTCTTTACATAAAAGCTTAAAATAAGTTTTAAATAATAATTTTTTTAATAAATACTTTATAAAATTACACAGGAACTTAAAATGTTTGAATTTATATAATTATGAGTAATCAGATAATTTATGATTTTTTTTATCATACCAACAACAAATATTTTACAACTCATATATATATATATATATATATATATAT